TCCTTGTTGCCCGTGGCCTGCGTGCCGCTGAAGGCCATCATTGAAGTTTCGTTTTCGCCAGCCTTTCCTCTTCTTCCTCAGGGTGACCGAGACAATCGCCTGAGAGAATTGAGAACATGCATAGGTTTCCCAGCCCGGCGTCGGAGATGCCGCAAGCGGCTGCGAAGGTTGCAGTGAGTTGCGGCGTTAACCACACGTGACGTGGTCTTTTCTCCCATTCGGCTGGACAATGAGTGGCGTTTTTGGTGCGGCAAGCATTGTCTCTTCCGCTTCTCCTCCTCTCCTCATTCATTTGTCACCTTGAAAAAGGCTCGTACGGATCGGATCCACTCACCGTTCCGTCGGCCGATCTCTTCTTGGATATTTTTTCTTAAGGTTAGCAATCCTTGATTGAAAAACTTCGTACATGACAACTTGTGACAACTCCCCTCTTTTGTTTGCTGTGCTCATCTTAAGATCTCAAGTTGACTTTGATCAGTGCTTGGTTCACAAATGACAACATTCCTTTCTTTGCTTGTTGTTTTTTGTTTTTGTTTTACCAGCAACGTTATACTGCTTTGAGAAATTGTTCTTGCAACGCAAGCTCGCACCATGGATAGTGCGACTTAGTGCGACTGCCATCATCTCCGCTCTGCATGACGTCCTCGAAAGTACAAGTGCGCGAGGTCTGCGGCCGTTTGTACAGAGGCCTGGCCAAGACAAGCTGATGTCTGATTGGCGAAGATCATTTGCTGTACAGTGTGAGCGCGCTATGCAACAATTGCAGACTCAAATCCTTCTTGTGTGAGTGGGTGAGGACCCAAATGCAGCAGCTTGCTGCCTTTAGTTGTCGCGACGTGCCCCGACATCTTTCAAACGCGTGCGCCACGGAAGCAAAACAGATTGGTGGCTCAGGTGGGGTTGGTTGCGATCGATCCATGGTGCCTTAACCCGAGCGGTTTCGAGTTGAAACATCGGCATGTGCAAGCTGGCGCCCAGCCTGAGACGACTTTTGCCGAAGAGGCGCTGGTGGACTTGTGTTGAGGCTTGCCCTTTTCTATTCCCAACCGCTTGAAGGCGATCCCGGCGCGAAACCGACATGATCCCAAGGCAAAGACCTGAGCGGCTGTCCGGGACTTCCTTTGGTTGTTTTTCCCACGCGTTTGTAACACGACCAAACAACCAGGGGATTGTGAACCGCAGGTGCGCTCCGGAGCCCACTGCAGCCGCCCATGCTCTCAAAAAAGAGTCCCTCTCAAACAATGACGTCCATGCGCGGGGAAGAACGGTGTTTTCATTCCCCTCAGAATTCGAAGAACATCTACACTATTGGGACATGTTTTTCCAGGGGGCTGAAGCACATGAAGGATGCGTTTGCATGCATTCCAGGAGAAGCACACGGTCCACTTGAAACTCTCTTGGAAGGCTGGCTAGGGGAATGGTTCCGACTCAACCTTTATGCGGGCAACTTGTGTTTTTGGTATCTTGCTTGAACTGATCTCACACTGGATTTGTCTCAAGTTTTACCCCCCAAACGGTTGGTTTCGCATTGCTTTTCTTGAAGGGAGCCAGGCCAGTACCAGGTTTTGATAGTGAATCATGTGAGCACTGAGCATCATATTTGTTGGTTTCTTTTCAGGCGCAATGAGCACTCCAAGACGCTCAAATAAACCCAAGTTACCCTTTTTGTTCGTTTTTTTTTTCCAACGGCAAGTATCCAGACCCAGAGCCGCAGCTTTAAGCAGTATATTTCCCTGACCCAACAAACCCAAGCAAGGTGTGCTTTGCCATCGATGCCTGAACCAAGAGCACCAGACACCTCCAACCTTTGATGAAGGATGCCTATCGAGTCGTAGCTGCATGGGCCCATTCGAGTTTTTTTGCAGAGTCGCGCTGGCTTTAGGTCAGAAACGATCGGGTTCCATACAGGCTTTTTTTTAAAAGCCCAGAGGCTCTTGTTCTTTTCTTTTTTTTCGGGCCCTCAAACAGCCAGGTTTTGAGACCCAAACACCTCCGGGGTGAATGCAGGGGTCGCGTATTCCATAAGGTGCAGGAGCCTCGAGGGAGGGCCTCGGCTCAAGGGAACCCAAGTCGAGTGATAGCTCATGCGTCGCACGGTCCATAAGGAACGGCTAGGTTTGGCAAGCGGATGGTATGGTTGGGGCTGGAAGCTGACCAATTGCAGCATTTTTTTTCGCAGCGTTTGTGATCAACTTCAGAATACCCGGTAACGCAGGGAATGTTCAACATGTCCATTGTTCGTAAGGGCGGCGAGACAGCCGGCTACCAGCAGTGTGAACCCCAGGTGCGTTCCAGAGTCCACTTCAGGCCACCCAGGCTCTCCGGGATTTGTCGAGCAATGACTCCAAATGTTTTATGTTTCCTTTGTTGCATTTTGCTTGGCTGTTAGGACTTTAACTTGTTGCCAACTCATTGGTTTTCCATTAAACCACTAAAAGTTAAACTTTTAGCAGGGGAGCAGAAAGCAACCAAGTTTCCGTTCCCCTGCTCTATGGGGTTTGAAGGGAATCTATCACTATTGGAATATGTGTGTTTTTCCAGCGGGCTTCAGCAAATGGAGAATGAGTTTTGCTTGCTTTTGAGGAGAGACGCGCAACGTGACAAGAAGGACAGCGCCTGAACGCAGGAGGTCCATCTAAAAATCCCTTGGAAGGTCGGTTGGGGAATGGTTCCAACCCAACAAAATGGTTTCAAACCCGTTATTCGGGGCTCAAGTCAACGAGCGGTTGTCCTTGTTCTAGCTCTTTCAGCGTCGCACTGTCCCACATATCTGGAGAAACAGATCCAAGGTTTGGCAATATTGCCACTTGGTTGTTTGCGCAGCTGCACTTGTTCAACTTCAAAGTTTTGTCAGGGTAGGAGAAGTGCGAAGAATCCTGCACGCCCCAGACGGTGAACAAATACGGAAACCCGCTCCAGGATTCAGCATCATGAACTAAGAGTTTGGCTCGAGCCGATGGACAATATCCCCTGAATTATTAGCGTTTGCTATTCGGAAGTATTACGCCTTGATTCTGGTCAACTTGGGCCTCAGCATGCCGAAGTTGAGCCATGCGAGCTCCCTTTTCCTGATTGGAGACTAAGCACGCATCGCTTGGTTCAAGAGCTGCTTGCACAGCGGCTTGGCTAACAGTGGACGTACCAGCCATGCACCACCGATCTGCCGGCATTTCTCAAGTCAGTCTTCCCAGCCAGTTCGTTGGTAGAGGCCCTTGCGGCCTGATGAGACCTTCTGCAGCCAGCGCGCGGGCTTGACGTTCGGGGGCTTCACCAGAGACACATATGACTCTTTCGTGCGATTTGTAAATCCTGTAGCGACTCTGGAGCCAGAGCCCTGAGTTGAGCAAAGCCTTGTCGCACACAGGTATCGTCGGTATTGTGTCTGAACTGCTGGCGTGATGACCTGCTTGGGGCACGACGTGGGGCTGTTGTCAACATGGGCCTTTGCACAGTGCTTATTCCACTTGAGTCTGATGCCTCGCCTTGCTCCAACGAGCCCGCAACCTTCTACCAGCGCACGGGCTTGATGTTTGGGGGGGTTGACCATGGAGAGATATAATCTGAGAACTCCGTCGAGCCAAAATAAACGACGTTGCAATGTTGGACGGGCAATTTCAGCCGCCACAGCTGAAAAGCGCCGTTGAATTCAAGAAACGCCGCAGTTGGCAAGAAACGCCGTTGGCCCCTGGCTGATCCAAATCTGCTCAGGTTCTGCGCGCAAAGCATCAGAAGCGCCGAGCACAAAACAGACTTTCGCCATCCGGATCCTTCCCCGGTGATGATTTCGTGAAAAACTTCAAAAGAAAGCGCTTGCGATGTTTGGGCTCCAGTTCCGCCGTTTTCGGCCGCGCGCTGTCGCCGCTGGGACGCGCGTGACGCGCGTTTCTGCCGTCGGGACGTAGGTTTCCGCCGGTGCAAGTCGATCATGTTTTCTGCAAAGCAAGTGGGTATTCCAACAAATCCAACCGGTTTTCACCAACCCACAGTATCTCGTGCAAAAGCTGGCAAAGTTGCATAGTCGCGTGTCCCAGGTGCGCAGATCTTGCGAAGCAGCCCACGTCAGGCCAATTGCGCACCAACCGCAAAATCGCCGTTGCAAATTGAAAAACCGCCACCTCAACCCCCTCCGCTTCGAGTTCCACCACTGGATGGCAAAAGGCGACTTTTCGAGTCTCCTGAAATGTTTGCCTGTTGGAGTTTACAGGTCTCGTTCGAATTGTGAAGCGTGTGTCATCTTGTGCGAGGGTCCTGCAAAGTTTAGCAAAGGCTTGTCGTTTGCACACAGAAGGATAAGGATATAGTGTCCGAACTGCTGGCATGATGACATATGACAAGGAGTGTCATGTTGCCTTGAATGGAGCACAGCGCGAGGTTGTGGTCAACATCCAGCTTGGCTGCGCTTGGAACTTCGCGGAAAGTTGGCATCGGGCCTCCGCACATTGCTTATACTATTTGAGTCTGTCGCCTCGCCTTGCAGCTCCAACGGCGCCGCGACCTTCTAGCGCTATGCGTGCCAGGCTGTGCCCTCAATCCAGCACTCGTTGCAGTTGCAGGTGGCGGCGTGTCAGGCCAGTTCCCAAGACAAATTTGCTTTGGGTAAGAGTGGTTATCAGTCCAGACTTGCCACGGCGCAGACGCCGCTAGGTTGGCAGAGCTCAATGTCTTCGCCAAAATGAGACCAACCGACCCGTGCCCGGAGCTTTGTGAAGTTGCAGCTTTGTGGAGGCTGGCCAACTCGTCAAGACCGAGACTCATCTCGCGTGTTTGTCAATTGCGTGAAAAGGATGTGACCAGAAGTGTTTGGAATGGTGGATCCCTTTTTAGCGGGCACTGTAAGGGGCACGAAAAGGAAGCCAAACCCAGTATTTAGGGACCGATTCCTATTTTGAGAAACGCGCATTTGGAGAGGTTCCCTAGATATCAGACATACCCGCTTCGCCCCTCAGTCATCTTAAAGCTGACAAGTGACGCAAGCTGACTGGGGCGTCCATGACCGCAAAATGTCACCTAGCAAGTTTTGTTTGACGCAGACAGCGGCAAGCTTTTCCCCTCATGAAGAGAGTCGGGTAAACCTTGGCAAGCTTCAGCTTCAAGCTGCCATGGTTGGCAGACACAATACTGCCAGTCTTTTCGGCTTTGCCGTAGAACAAATGGTGCTGAAGGCAACCGACCTGTTCCCAGAGCTTGGCGAGGTTCCAGCTGCACGTAGTAGTAGGAGTGAATCTCTGCGGAGCCTGCCGGCCAAGCAACCAACAAGGCTTAGGCCCATCTCAGTCCTCATGCGCCGCAGCGTCCCAGTGTGTTGCAGGGATTTGTGCCTTGACCTGGAGTAGCGCTAGATGGCAATCTGAGGCGCGTCATGTTGGGTTTGACTTGAGCAAAGCACGGTGTCGTTGGGCTCAGTCAGCTTGGTTGCGCCCAGAGCTCCACGGCAAGCTTCAGCTTCAATTTCAGACTGCTGGTGTGGTTGGCGGCAGTTCGAGGTTGCACTTTGGGAGCAATGAAGCTAGGCCTTGCTGGCGATGAGCTGGTGGTGAAGGCAGCTGACCTATGCCCAGAGCTTTGCGAAGTTGCGAGTGCATGTGGTAGGAGTCAATCTCTTCGGAGCCTGGTAAGGCTTAGGCCCATATCCGCCCTCGCGGCTTGCAGTTAGTCCCAGTCCTTGCGACCTTGCCCTCCGAAGCTGGTGGAGGCAGCCGACCTATGCGAGCTTTGCACAGCTCCATCGTGTCTCTGCGCAGCCTGGCCCAGCACTCGCCAAGTAGGCATCAAGGCCCAGGGCCCATCTCAGGACTCCTCCGGATCTGCGCCTTGACTCGCGGAGGGAAGAAAGGGCTAGCCGACGGCGTTCCCAGCAAACAGGCTCAGCGAACCTTTTTGCTCCAAAGGTACTTGGTTTCCTGGCACGAGTCGCCTCTACAGGCGACATCTGGGATCAGTCTGCGACAGACGCAAGTTCGGCTCTGGCAAAGCAGGTGCTCGAGCAAGAACGGTCTCTTCGGAACTTGCTTTGTCGATGTTTTCTGGCATGGAGCTCGGCGAGGTGTTTTGCAAAGTGGTTCTGCGAAGCACTCCTGGGCGGTTCTGCGAATCCGGTCAATCACCGGCGTAGTTGGCTGGGAAGTTCTGCGAAGCGCGTCGGCGAAGCGAGGCTGCCATTCTGGAGCTTTCGGAGTGAATACTCGCAATGCAGGGTGCCAACAATTTGGGTAGCCCTGGCTTTACAACTTGGATTGCCAGAAAGTTCAGCGATGGTGCCACTTTAATCTGTTCTTCCCATTGACCTTAGCTGCTTGGAGCGAAGTTTGCAGTCTGAGGCGCCAGGCGTAGCACTAGATGGCAGTCTGAGGCGCCTGTTGGGTGTTGACTTGAGCAAAGCACGAGGTTGTCGGGCTCCGTCAGCTTGGTTACGCCCAGAACTCCGTAGCCAGCTTCAGCAAAAGACCGCTGGCTGGCAGACACAGCAACGCTAGCCCCGCTCAATGCAATTTGACGCAGGCATTGCCACATCTCAGCCCTCATGCCAAGGCTGGCAGGCGTTTCTCCAGCATGTGGTTCAGTTGCTGGCTTCGCTTCAAGACAGCTCAGAGGTTGCGCTCTCGGAGCGCAACAAACATCCGCGCCGCTCGGGTTGACGGCATAAGCTCTCGGATGGCAATCCTGTCCATCAGAAGCGGGTGTTGAAGGCAACCAACCTGTGCCCAGAGCTTTGCGAAGTTTCAGCCCGTAGTAATTAGGAGCCCATCTCTGCGGAGCCTGCTGACAAAGCAGATAACAAGGCTTGGGCACATTTCACTCATTGCACACCGCAGCGTCCCAGTGTGTTGCAGGGATTTGTTGATTGACCTGGAATAGCACTAGATGGCAATCTGAGGCTCGTCATGTTGGGTTTGACTTGAGCAAAGCACGGTGTCGTTGGGCCTAGTCAGCTTGGTTGCGCCCAGAGCTCCACGGCAAGCTTTAGCTTCAGCTTCAGACTGCTGGGGTGGTTGGCAGACAGTTCGCATTTGCACTTTGGGAGCTCAACGAATCCAGGCCTTGCGGCGATGGGCGTGGGGTGTCGGATGGCAATCCAATCGTCGTTGCCATCCGAAGCTGGTAGGCAAGCAGCCAACAACGCATACTCCATCTTGCGCCTCAGCGTCCCGGTGTATGCTACGGATTTATGCCTGAACTCGGCAAAGAAGGAAAGGGGACGGCTGACTGTGTTCCCAGCAAACAAGCACTGCGAACCGTTTTGCTTCGGCCAGGGATTTTGCGAAGTGGTTCTGCGGAGCACTCCTGCGCGGTTCTGCGAATCAGGTAAACCACTGGCGTAGTTGGCTGGAAAGTCCTACAAAGGGTTCTGCGACGCGCTTCGGCGAAGCGAGGCTGCCGTTCTGGAGCCACGGTGGCGCGTTCTAAGTGGCTTTGCGAACTTGGTTTGGCGGGGCGTCCAGCGATGGAGCCTCTTTGATTGTCTCCTTTCATGGACCTAAGCTGCTTGGAACGAGGTTCGCGGTTGGTGCCATGAGTAGCACGTCGTGTTCGGTTGACTTGAGCAAAGCACGGAGCCGCGAAGCTCCGTGAGCTTAGTTGCGTCCAGAGCTTCATGGTCAGAATGCTGAGAGTTTTGCGAGGTTCCAGCTGCACATGGTGGGATGCAGGTTTACATGTCTTCTGAGCTTGCTGCCAGATCATTCGTGAGAGCCCGGAATTTGGGCACAGTTCAAAAGCTGACCGGCCCTATTTTGATAGGGGGCAGGCGCTCGGATGGCAGTAAGTCCTTGCCATTTGGGAGTGGGCAGCCATTCCCGAAGCTTTGTGAAGTTCCTGTCAGGTTGTTGCAGAGCCTGACGCCCAAGAGGCTGAGACTCTCAGCACTCGCGCGGGCAAAAGCTCACGCCGTCGAATCGTGCGGGACGATTCGCAAGATCCACGAGGAAGGTTTCTTTCTTAGGGAAGTCGGTAAAACATGATCATTTGCCCGGGCGGCATCCCAAGCGGTTCTTCCGAGCTTTGCGCCTTGGGAGTACTGTCAAAAGGCATCATGAGGCGCGCCGTGTTGGTCTGACCTAATCTGCTTGGAACAAGGTTTGCGTTGGGTGCCAGGAGTAGCACCAGATGGTGTTCTGAGGCGCGTCATGCTGGGTTGACTTGAGCAAAGCACAGAGCCGCTTTGCTGCATCAGCTTGGTTGTGCCCAGTGCCCCGCGGAAAGCTTCAGCTTCAGACTGCTGATGTGGTTGGGAGACAAAACAATACTAGCCTGCGCAGGTGTTCGCACGATTTGAGTCTGAAGCATTGCCTCGCAGCGCCGGCAGTGCCGTTACTTCTCAGCCCTCGCGCTAAGGCCAGCAGGCGTTTGTCCAACATGTGGTTCAGTTGCTGGCTTTGCCTCAAGACAACTTGCAGGTTGCACTTTGGGAGCTCAACAAAACCAGGCCTACTTGCGGTGACGGGCGTGGTTTTTTCGGATGGCCATCCTTTCGACGTTGCCATCCGAAGCTGGTTATGATATTCTCAGAGCATTGCAAAGTTCCAACTGCACTGCACGTGGTAGGAGTCAAGCACTGCGGAGCCTGCTGGCCAAGCAGCTCACAAGGCTTATGTCTATCTCAGCCCTCACGCGCCGCAGCGTCCCGGTACCGTAACTCGGCCAAAAAGAACAGGGGACAGCTGACTGTGTTCCCAGCAAACAAGCGCTGCGAACCTTTTTGCGTCGGAGAGGGATTTTGCGAAGTGGTTCTGCGGAGCACTCCTGCGCGGCTCTGCGAATCAGGTAAACCACTGGCGTAGTTGGCTGGAAAGTTCTGCAAAGGGTTCTGCGACGCGCTTCGGCGAAGCGAGGCTGCCGTTCTGGAGCCACGGTGGCGCGTTCTAAGTGGCTTTGCGAACTTGGTTTGGCGGGGCGTCCAGCGATGGAGCCCCTTTAATTGTGTCTTGTCATGGACCCAAGCTGCTTCGAACCAGGCTTGCGCTGGTTGCCAGGAGCAACACTAGATGGCGTTCTGAGGCGCCTGTTGGGTTGACTTGAGCAAAGCACAGAGCCGCTTTGCTGCATTAGCTTGGTTGCGCCCAGTGCTCCAGGGAAAGCAGTTTCAGACTGCTGATGTGGTTGGGAGACAAAGCAGCGCTGGCCTGCGCAGGTGTTCGCACGATTTGAGTCTGAAGCATTGCCTTGCAACGCTGGCAGTGCCGTTACTTCTCAGCCCTCGCGCCAGCAGGCGTTTGTCCAGCATGTGCTTCAATTTCCGGCTTCGCCTCAAGACAACTAGGATGGGAGCTTAACAAAACCAGGCCTACTTGCGGTGACAGGCGTGGGTTTTCGGATGGCCATCCTTTTGACGCTGCCATCCGAAGCTGGGGGTGAAGATACCGACCTATGCCCAGAGCTTTGCGAATTTCCAACTGCACTCAGCCAGGTCCGTAAGAGGTTAACATTTGCGCACAGTTCACAAGCTGACCGGCTGAAATTGACCGGGGAAAACGCGCTCGGATGGCACGTCCTTGCCATTTGGACCTCGCAGAGCCTGACACCCAATCCGAGGCTGAGACTCTCATTCTCGCGCTTGCGTGCACGTCCATGATTAGGTCCTTCATAGGGATTTCCTTTTTGGCCGTCGGTGGATGGTTGTTATTATTTCTTGCCCAGGGCTAAGTCAGCTCAGTGCGCGAAGCTCCGTGGCAAGCTTGCAAGCAACGGTTTCATGGTTCTCGGCATTCAGGCGGATGCATTTTTCTTTGCCTGGGGCAAAGAAACATCCAAACTTCGGCTGGTCCAACGAACTTGGCGCAGCCGACAACTCTGCAAGCGGGGCTGCACTCGTCTCGTTCCAATCTGGGGTAGACTGCGTGCTTTGCACCCCGCAGCTGAACTGCTGGCCTGCTCCGCTCACACCTCTCGAGTGACGAGCACAGGTTCACCTTTTGGGAAGCTTTGGCAGGCTTCTACAGCCGTTTGGCCCATCCCTGCAGCTCTCAAGAGTGTATTCAAAGCGCTCTCAGAATTTCTGTCCGGTGCTCGCCTTCTTTCTGGCGCATGGTGTTTGCAAAACATGTCTTTCCGCGAAGCATCGCCAGTTTGAGCATAATAGCTTAAGCCGAGGCTCTCAAGAGCGGCCTGAGCTTCATGATAGTCTCGGCTTGCACATACACTCTTTGCGTTGCTGTTCTCCGGGAGAGAATGTTGCTCGGCCACACTCTGCACACTGATCCCTCCTTCCCCATGGCCATCCCTTCCTCCCCTTGGCCGGCATGCTAAAGGCCGTCACTGAAGTTTCATTTGCGCCAGCTTCTCAGGGTGACTGGGAGGATCGCATGAGAGAATTGAGACCTTGCATAGGTTTCCCAGC